GCAACCTCATGACCTCACATGAGCAAAGAAAATGGCTTTTAGAGTTGTTTCCAGCCTCTATTCATCACTCATTCCTGGGGGAGATGCCAGGAAATATTTTCATGGGTTTTTTTCCAACTTATCTTCTCACCTCAAAGTTTGGATGAAGGATAAGCACATAGACAAAAAGAAGGAAAGAGAATCCATCTGAATGGGCTAGGTATTCTGTCATGTGAATGAAATTTAGTCTTTAGCTTTTTTTTTTTTTTAATTTCTCTTAATCATCAAACAATCTTCTCAGAAGTCCCTCCTGTATTTCTGGAAGGATATTGTGAGTTAGTCATGATTTCTTCTTGGGTCATTCCAGAACATTTGGAGCAGGGCACTCTGGTCATCAGTGCACACTGAACATTGCTGTTATGTTCATCTGACAAAACCATCAGGAGCCTTCTCTGCTGGGCACGGGTACTTGCCACTGTGACCCCCACAGCTGTACTTATTAATGCTGAGCCCCCACCTTCAGAAGCCATGAACCACCTCATGAGCGATAACAGCATCTCTCAAGGTTAAGAGTATCTACACTGGAGAGGCTGAGGAGATATGAAGTCTACTTCCCAGCCTCAGGAAGACTTTCAACACCCTAAAAACACATCTCTTCTCTAAATGCTCTTGTAACATAGACTCACCAACTCAAAGCACTAGCTCAGCTCTGGCGCTCTCATTAACCCTCTTCAATGATCCTGAAACATAGAAGTCTTTTACTTCTCCTCACCCTCCCCTGTCCTAGTCGCAGAGGTGAATGGGGAGGTAACCGCAACTTAGTGCTTCAGATACACAGAGGTTAAGTCCACCAATTTAGGGTGAAGCTACAGAAAGGATGGACAAAGCTAGCTTTTGTCTCATCTAGCTACACATATTTTAAATACAGAGGCTTGCCAAAATTAGTAATCCTTTGTTTCTTCCTGAAACCCACTAAGAGATTCTTTAGGTTTCCCATCTATCAGGAAAATATTTTAATATCGATCTTGTGATACTGTCTTATGAATGCATACTGCACACAAAATCATATCATGATGTTGATACAATTCTATGTAATGATGGAAACAATTTTGCACAGGGTTTTAGAGTGTAAAGGTTCTATTAGTATATACACACTACTCAATAAAAAGGGCAATGGAATGGAACAATACAGACATAAGAAACCAGTAGGTTTACACCTCAGGTTACGAGGCAACCTGGGATCCAAACACCTCATGTTACAAGGCAACCTGGAATGAACAGAACTCGCTGGTCTCAGAACCAAATCCCCGGTTTGACTCCAGAGCACTTACCAGATAAAGAACTATTGGCCACGGATCAAGTCTCTCTTTGGAGCTTCAGATTCCCAGCGTTTTGATGGAATGATTTGTGCTTTGGGGACTTCTTGTGGATTAAAAGCTATTTTTCTTACAACTGTGTCAAATTCCCCTTTCCCCACTTATCTATGAGAAAAATCTTGTCTTCGATGACGGAGAATAACACTGTCTTCATGTTTTTCATAGCTATTGTTGTAGAGACCAAGACAAATATAAATATTCCCAGTTAAATGATATACATATATGTATATATTCACATATGTGTGTCTATTTATGTGTGTAGGTGTGTGTATGTGTGTGTATATAATAATAGGTCTAAATATGATATTACCTTTCTCAAAAGGGTTACTATGTATCTGTGGTATTGATAAGACAAGGACTGTCATCAATCTCCCTTTTATTGAATTGTAGACTGAACTAGGAAAATCTGTCCTTTCTGTCACTAAGCAAGTTGTAGTCAATCACAGATGTGAGGAACTCTGATTACTTCTATAGTGCAGTAACTATGTTTTAGAGTAATTGTGTTAGAGTAATTAAACAAGGAGGCCATTAGACTGAGGTGGCTCTAATGCCTTGTAGCCTATGTGAGCAAACAAAAACCTAAGTTAGAGACGATGCACTGGAATTCACAAAATGACAGTTAGGAACAAGCAATCACAGACAGCCAAATGGGTTTTCCCACCTAAAGCAACTGCTATGCTATAGCCAATCAAATGATTTCTTTACTTCGCTTCTTGCCTTCTCTATAAAAACTTTTCCCCTAGCTCATGTCAGTGGAGCACTTCTAACCAGCTTTGGAGCTGCCAAATTCAAATTGATAAGTGTTCAAATAACTCTTGAAAATTTTAATGTGCTTCAGTTTTTCTTTTATCACTTACTTAAAGAGAAAAAATATACAGCCTAAAACAGTTCAATCCTAAAGTGCACCTAAGAGGAAGTGTGCGCATCAGCAGAGGAAGGCCTGACATGTGACAGAGCAAACACACACCATATCCTCCTTAATCTCAGTACTCGGAATGGGAACAAACATTGAACTCCCCATGTGCACAAGCTTCTTTAATTGGAATCTAGTGGCAGACAAGAACATTGTTCTGGAAGCAAGAAAATCAAGCAAAGTTTCACTCCTCCTCCAGGGCAGATCAGCCAAGAATACCAAAGTAGAGCTATATTTTTATTTTTCCTGTTACAGCACAAATCTGTTGTTTGGCTACCAAATTACAGGTTGGGTCTGGTTCTCACATTCTTCTGCTTTTCATGTGCTGAACAGGAAGAGTAATAACAGGCTGCTTCTTTTACTTGTGGGATTTAGGTATTCTTCATCATAGAATGGGTCATTTTTCTAAGAAAACCTGCCAGTTTAAAGGCTGGAGGTGTATGCCATTCATGTGGGGGTGGAAAACCCATAAAAATGAGAGGTTTTTGGCTAGAGAGTGGGTTCTAGTTACTTGTTCCCATGTTTAAATGACATGTTTATGAGTCATACCCTTATTATCTAATCCTAACAGCATCGTCCAAAGATCACTATCATTTAAATGACTACTTCAGAGAAGGGTCTCTGGGAAATTTTACCGAGGACAAAATTATACACAACCATTCAGTTATGGAGCAGCACTCTGCACACACTTTGTATTCATTTTTTAAAATGCTCTATTGATAATCTATAAAAGATAATTAAACAAAGTATAACAAATATTGTCCAAATGCCTAATGTCTGATATCCTAGACAGGAGACTAGTTAAGTATAATATAACATATATTGAAGGAAACTACTGCACACAGATATTACCAATTAGTATTTGAGTCAATCGACATTCTTGCAAATATTGTTCCCTTCATTGTCTAGTTTATGGCTCTGTTCAGGCATCAGCGGGAAATAAAAAACAACTTATTGGGGTAAGATTTTGGAGAAATTCGAAATTCAGGGAATTGTCTGACAACCGAGAGGACTGTAGGAACATTTTAGTGAGAGACGCCTTATCGCTCTGACCTAACTCGAAGCAATATTAGGGAACCACACAAGCCAACATGGGAAAGAACCTTGGAATTTTGACTCATCAGAGAATTTCTAAAGAACTCTTTTGGCACACAGGACCTATTTGAGGACATCTGTGTTTCTTCAAACGAAATTAATTCTTTCTTTTTTTCTTAAAAAAAAGAGAAAGCAAAAAATAGGCGTTTCCTTGTCCTCAAGTCATTTATCTTGTCCAGAGATTAAAAAATAAAACATTGTCATTTGTATCACTCTTCATATTTGTGGAAGAAGATGGTATTATTCTATTTTATTAGAAGAGGAAATGGAAGAACACAGGGTCCCAGTGATGTCTGCTAAAGGAAGGAGAGAAGTTCAGCAGAGCCGAGTATTCTTCTCAGGACTCATAGCTGCATCAAGAGGAGACGGACAGCACTGGAGAGCACTCTAATTTTCATATCTTAAGAGAATGCATATTCTATAATCCCCATTTACAGCTCTTTTCTATATGGGCGTGTTTTCCCCTGTGGCCTATAGCTTCTTTGGGACCTATCACTTTCATTGCCAAAATATTCTTGGGTTATTGATTAAAAGGAGGAAGTCCAAGTTCATCCTGACCAAGAGAAAAAGAACTCAAATTGCCTGCCTTACTAGGTGCGTAAATAACTCCACCTTGGACATTGTATGCTTTATATGAAATTGCAATTTCTTTATACAAAAGAACCAATAATGATAAAAAACGGGTGATGGGTTAACAAAATCTTTATTAATAAAATATTATTTGAAGGAAAATTTTGAATTATAATCTAAATGCATTGATTTGAATGGACATAACTAAAACCTGAAAAAATCAGAGTTTAAGGTGGGATGGAGTTATTGCCAATATCCTCAATAATTATTAGACATTTAATACTTAAGAAGAATGTTCTAACTATGCGTATTTCACCAGTTATAAAGTAAAGTTCCACTCAGCTCTTTAGCAGCAAAACAAGGAAATTTTAAAAATCAACAAAAACCCTTTTGATGTAAGAAGTGTCTAGTGCTTCGTTTGGCTATGGTTTGGGATTATTCTCATAAATAATTTAAACCCCAAGATTTCAATCCTTTTCTTTGACTATTTGTTGATTTAATAAAGCCATTTTTCTTTATCTCTGTTTTAAGTGTCTTACATACATGATCCTGTTTAGAGTGAAAGCCTTTATTTCTTGACTTACGGAGAGAGCAGAGCAAGGTGATATTTTACTCACAACCTTTCAAATCTTCCTCCCTGTTCTTACATTTTCTGCATCTATATTTTCATAAATAACTAGAAGCGATTGTTTCAAGCTCACTATAAAGCAAGCAGGTCATGTTAAACACTAGGTGGGGTTTAGTGACCTCTTATAGGAAGACGCCATTCCCTGATTCTCTGGGCTTTGCAATGAGGTGATTAGATGACCTTATTGACCCAGAGTTCCTCTACTTAATCAACAAGAGAGGATTTGGGAAGCTGAGGCTTCCCTTAAGCAGCTGACGTCAAAGCTGCAGCAGAAGAGCACACAGCAGCAAGAACTGCAGGTGTGTACTCTAAATCAATGTGTCTTTACTTTCTCAGGACAACCTCCTGAGCGTACTCTGGCTCACTGCACATCTGGTTTATATTAATTTGTTGCTGAAAAGAACATATGAAGATGCTGCATGTATAATTACATATTTACCAAGATGTCACAGAGTTTGATAGAAGGCTTTCCCTGTGGCCATTTCTGTGCTGGGGGAGAATGTGAAGAATGGAGTCAGGTGGAGAGCCCTGGGTGCCTTCTCAACACTTGACCATAATTTTCTCGATGAGGGTAGTGAACTGAAGTTCTCAACTGTGATAAATGGAGAAACATTAAAGACAATTGATAAAACTCCCTCTTTGTGCCTGGACCATTGCACTAGCCTCATAAATGATCCCTCAACCTCCAGCTTGCCCTGCTCCACTCGTCACTACTCAATAGAATGCTCTTCTCAGGTCAGAAGTGAGATTCGAACGTTCCCCTGCTTAGCACCTCCCCTCCTATCTCCTGGAGAGTAAAATTCAAAATCATTCTGAGGGTCTAGAAGGCCCTCTAAGATTCATCCCCTCTTTTCACTCTGCCCTCATGTCCTTGTGTGCTTCCCTTGGCTTGCTCCTCTTCTACTGCAGTGGCTTTGTTCTCCTATGAAGACACCAGGAGCACTCCTACCCCCGGGCTTTTGCACCTGCAGTTGTCTTTATCTATAGTGCTTTCCCCCACATATCCCTATGGCTCACTTCCTTCAAATTTTTGTTCATGTATCATCTTCTCAGTAAAGCCTCCCTATTTAAAATTGCAATTCTTACACCTACCTGCACTTCTATTCTCCATTTCACTTTTTCCTCATGCCGTTTACTGCCTTCTAATACTCCACTTAATTTTCTTATTTGTTCTATTTATAATCTATCTTCTCCCACTAGAATAGAAGCCCCTTGTGGACAGGAGGCTTTGTCTTATGTTCACTATTGTGAACAACGCCTGCCATGTAGTAGGTGCTCAGAAAATTTGCACCCTGCAAGGAGTCCAGGAGAATTTAGGGATCTGACATGTTTAATGTAGCTGACTGCTTTTTAGAGTGGAAAAAACCCTAACCATCCGTTTAATTTGTGAACCAATTAGCTCTACAGAAAGAAAAATCTCTGTTCTACAGCCAAAGACAACACCCTATTACCCCTTCACCTAAACATTGTATACAGTAAGTCCCAACAATAAGAAAACATGGACAACACAGTGCAATTCGGGATAGGATCTGGAGAGGGAAAATCCTTATAGCATATACCTACCAATAGGGGGTATCGGTAAAAACACGTTTGTATGTAACGTGTTTATTTGGTTGCTATAGTACATTTGTCCAGAAAGTTATGATAGTTACAAGAAAATGGAGATATAAGGTATATTTTAAAGCCAAATAGAACCACAAATGTTTGTTAATGTTTTGTTAAATATGTTAGCAGCATCCTCTTGCCAAAAACAAGACATTTTATTTTGCTAATGTTATTAGTAAATATGTATTTTTCTGGTTTTAAAAATATGTACTTTATTGTAAAAAAATCAGAAGACAAGCAGTTTTATACAATTAGGTAGGTTTGGGAATTTTCTTTAAAAAACGTGTAACCATGGTACTCTTGTCATTAGCAATCAAGTAATCTTGATTTTTCTAAAAAAGCAATTAGCCTTTAAGAAAAACAAAAGCTAATTAAAAATGACAACTTAGTCATCTAAGCAAACAACAGCTCAGAATCAGTCTGTACTACCTACTAGAAACTGATAATGCAGTAAAACTATGGTTTAAAATGACCTCTTTTCAATTATATATTTTTAAAAGCCCTCACAACTACAGAGAATTCACATGTCCTTTCTGCCCATACTTAGTTGATTTATTCTCTGAAGTTGGTTAAATTTTTATGTATGAAAAGCTACATCCATACAAACCTTTATTTAGAAACTCATTAGTGCTTAAGTTAATGAATCTTCAGTTATCCATGCTTTGAAACCTTGGAGATTCAAAAAACCTGAAAAATAAAACAAAGGCATTTGTAGAAAAAGTGTGGGATCAGGCCAGTAGTGAGCGTTATGTCCTATGAAGCATTAATTTAGCAACTAGACAGATGTAAAATCTATAGTGAACCAAGGTAATGGACAAGAAAAGAAGAGTAAAAGAACCTCATTCCAATGAGTTCGCTCATGTAAAATTAAAGAAATTCTGTAAAACATTCAAATACTCTTTAGAAGGTAAAAATGAAAGAGCAGCTTGTAATTGAGCATACATTTTTCCTAATTCTTTCCTATTTATTGATTCCTATACTCTCATAGTTTTCTGTTCCTCATATTTTCTGTTCTTTACTCCTGTGTATTTTGCAACAAACTCTGTGTGTTTTGTCTTCCGTTCTCTTCTTCACTTGCTTTATTGTTCATGTTCCTTCAATTTTTACTAAGAGAAGTTGCAGATTCAATTGGACTAACAGAGGCAGGGTACAATCTCAAAATCTGCCAGATTTCACGTAAATAAGCCTGCTCGAACACAGGCTCCCAGGAAAAGTAGAGGGCGAGGGGTGGAAGCAGAGTGGACTCCATTTCTTCTTCGAGCCAGGCCCATGAGCTCTTGGTCCTGTCGTGTCTGTGTTAACTGGCAGGGCTGGCTACTGGGGAGTTAAGGTCCGGAACAGAACTACTGATATGTCAGGAAGTTCTGGATGACTGTATTTTGCTGAATGATGAAGTAGCAACTGCTGGAAATAATAATAGGCCTTAAAATAGCAAAAATTCCTGAATGACTGTATCAGGGAGTGACCAATTTCTATCATGTGTTGATGTCAATTTAGAGCATAGATGATCCCTAGAGAAAAAAGATATGAGATTCCAGACCTGCTTTCTTTTTTTGCAAGTGATTTCAACTACATGCAAAGCCCCTTCCAGGCTCAGCTATAGAGGATACTGGAAATGTCAAGAGGCCAAATAAGAGGAAATGCATTCTATATAGTCGTGCTGCTCTCATGTTTAATGTGGGAATAGAAAAATCCTCAATAGCACGGCATTCTTGGATGGATTTGAAACCACAAAATGCCACAACTATAGAGTTAAGGAGCACTTTCTACAGTCTAAAGCCTGGGAAGAAGTTATAGAGATCTCCTGAAAGGAAAGTGCATGAAATGTTAGTAACATTTAAGGTAGAATTGAAATGTATTTTAGGAGAAATCCAACACCATGAACACCTGAATATTGTCCTGCCACCAGCCATTCTCTCTCATGTCCTATCTCCATCTTGACTCCACATGAGGTCATTGGAGGAGACATATGCATGCAGTGGTTATGGCAAAGCAAATAAATGATCTTCATTCCTCTGATGCAGTAGGAAAAGCCATTTTTGAAAACCTATGCTGGAGCAGAAGACGACTCCTCTTCCCTGAGCTATAGACAGACTTATGTAACCTACAGCCTAAGTGTACTGACAGCTGTCTTTACCCATTCCTTACAGACCTGAGATTACAAGTAGACAAGCATTAGCTAGAACAGGCTTATATGAGTTTTGATCATCAGTATATTCTTGAAAATATGGACTTATTTGAAAACATTTAAAAATCAGAAGATTTCATATTTTAAAAGCCAGATTGCTGTTTTTTCTGGAGGAAAAAAAAAAAAAAGATTTGCACCACTGGAAATATATTTCCTGGTTACATTTTTCCAGGGTTAAAGCTTGGCTGCTCTGTCCATCAGGCAAAATTTCCAGTCTCTACCACTCATGGTTGTGTCTCTTATCCCAGATATGCTTTGCTCATTTTTATCACCTGCCTGGCTTTGGATCTGAGACATTTGACCTATCTCTACTCATGAGTCTTAGCTTTCTATATCTGAAAACATCAGTGGCAAGGAAGAATGTGTTCAGAGAAAAGTACTTCAAGAGAGAGGGGGAAACTAAGGGTTTCTTACTCAATAAGGACAATGTGATTGTTTCACCCAGGTCTTATCAAGACTTGTCCCAATCTAAAAATGTGTAAAAAAGAAGAGATGACAAAAATTTCCAAAATGACCCAACACAGAGTTTGAGAGAGAGAGAGAATGAGTAAGAAGTTGTGAAAGAATGAGGGAGAGAGAGACAGAGAAAGACAGAGAGAGACAGAGAGACTAGTACCTTAGCATATTAATATCATAAATGCCATGAACTGTCAACATTAACACTTCTCCTTGGGAATCAAGTGCAGAAGAGGACAAGAAAATTAGAAAGAGGTCTGAAGTTTCACACAGAGGCCTCAATCTATACTCCTAAATTCGCTGAAATATTTCTGAGATGCTAATGAAGCATAAGATTTGGACACTTCACTAGCCAGTTTCCTTCCAAGATCTTGTATCTATTTTTATATTTGTAATTTTGCATTCTTTTGCTCAAGGAGGTTCCTTCAAATTGAATATGTTTCAGGCCTCAAAACCTACATCCATCTCTGCCCATAACCCACATTTTGAATGCCTTGACCAAATTTACCAGTCAAGGGAATAAAATGAAAAATACTCACATATATTTTATAAGGCTCCAAGTTTGTGTGTGTGTCTGTCTGTGTGTGTGTGTATCTATATTAAGCGAAACCATTCAAGAAAGGAAGAAAATCCAGTAATTACTAAAACTGTGTTTTATAGAAGGAGAATGTCTCAGAAATTACTTATTTTGTGGAGCACCTTCTGAGTCGTTATACCAGAGAACAACCTATTTTCAAAGATTTACAAATAAATTAAAACTCCATTAAAACCTGTTTTTTATTAACAAAATCAGAAGCACTGATATATTTTTTTTTTCCTGTAATTTAATATTCTATGTCATCTAAGACTTGAGAAGTATAATCGGACTTGAGGTCTCCCCTGATCCCTGGAATATGGAAATATTTAGAGTTTTACCGTAACTAGATTTCAGAGGCTTATCCCAAAAATAATTATTAGAAAAGAAATCTAATAAGTTTCAGCAAAGTCACAGGTATAATAAGTGTTGCGTCTGTTCTATAATGTCTGCTATAATCACTTATTCTTTTCATCTTTATAGTATTATACAAAAAGTGTAGGTAATAAGATATTGAAAGGTTTCACTTTATATAAGAATATCTAAAAATATGATCTTTCCATCCATTAAAATTAGAGCCTTGCATTTGACATAGAATGAATGTGTGAGCTATTAGTGTTCAAATTATGTTCAATTGCACCCAAAAAATTGTGTCCTAGAATTTTGACCATCTCCTGCTTCTCAGAGGCTCAGTGTTTTTCATTGAGAAGTCAATTGTTCTGGATTGAAATAGAGGAATTCACTTTATTTCAACATGGAAATTTAAAATTAGGCCTAGAGCAACAGGCTGGCATAAAGGGATTCCATCTGTCATTAGGAAATTAAAATATAATTAAATAATAATATACTGGAATTTGACAATATGCTTCCCTTACACCCCTGCTATGGATTTGTCAGATGGCTGACATGGATTAAAAGGAAGGACATTCTGAAACCATCAGTAATGAAGACCCTTGAACTGGGTCCAAAAGAAGCAACCTTAAATCAAATGCCCCAGCATTACAGGCAAAGACCTAATAAGATTCCTTTTGTAAAATACATTAGTAGTTTCTTTTTCTTTTCTCTACTTTTTAAAGTCATATTTTGGAAAATTTGTCAATAAAGACATTGAAGCCAGATTTATATGCCAGTAGGTGAAATAAATAAGAAACGAAAAATGTGTTTTACTAAAGATGATTTGACTATTTCTTGCCAGATAAACCAGACAATATATTTTCAGTAGTAAAACAAGACCTTAACTTCAATCTACTTAGATTTCTACTAAGTTTAAAGACCAGAATGTTTAAGTCTATGACTCTACACCAAAAGCAAAGTTGTATTTTGCAGCAATTAAACAAACAAAAAATTTTAGCACATACAAAATAGTTAATTTCTACATAGGATCTCTGGTTTAGCACACAGTCTTTGCTTTTATAGACACACACACACATACACCCCCAAGCTCTTCTTATGACCACTGTCCCCTCAAAGCTTTTTAGTTAGAATTATATGTGTAGCAAGAAAATGGCAAGAGGCATTGAGATCAATGAAATGCATTTGTAAGTGTTTGTGTGTGTATTTTCTTCATCTTAATGTTTAGATTAAGTATATTTAGATTAGTACCTTATTATAATATTGGTGCTTTTTGTTATTCTGTTTTGTTTTGTTTTTGTGAGAAAAAGTCCTTTTTTGATACTAAAATATTTCCTACTTAGAAAGCTATGTCTTCAATTGTCAACATTGGAATTAATTTAACAGTACGCATATCCTCAGAAATTTTAAAAAGGAATTTTAAAAATTCTAATGTTGTTTTAAAGAAAGGGCAGAAACTCAGTCTTCGGATAAATCAGGACTTTGTCTTTGTCCAATTGTCTTAGATAAGCTATTTTTTTATGTCTTCTTTTTTATTTTGTGAGGTAATGAAATATTTAAATAACTGATACTTGGCAGAAACACTTATTCCCACAGTATTTCTTGCCAAACTGAAATAAAAAAGATCCAAATATCAAACAAGGGATGCTGTATTTGTAAGATTAAAAGCCTGATTTTCTACATGAACTCTCATTTAAAATAAAATAAGATAAAACACAATAAAATAAAATAAAACAAAATAAGATAATTGGAGGAGTGAAAATCCAGAAGGCTCTTTCTGAAGTAATATAACTATCCTGAATTGATGACAGAAATTGAAAATAAGAAAAGATATGGCAAGAAACAATCTCACTCTGACAGTGGCTGGATCAGATAACCAAATCATTTTTCCAGTTTCAATATTAGTTCAATTTTTAAAAGGAGCACAAAAGTTAGGACAACATGACCCATAACTTGTTATTATCTAAATAAAAATTAAATGTCTTTAAAAAGTTTTCCGCTGGGGGAAAAAAAAACCAAACTAGGTCAGAAATAACATGTGTTCACTGGGCCTCGTTTTGTAAAAGAAAATGCTGTATCAGGAAAAGAAGTAATTCCATCTACGCAGGTTTCATTTTT